GCAGATCGTGTCACCTTCATTTGGCAAACACCTGTACATTTTCCTGAAGCAGTACAGTGGAGAAGATGAAGGCATGGTTTGAACTGCCTACCGAGACAGCATTTAGACATCATCACACTCCCCAATATGATTCATATTCCAAACAGTCAGCAGCAAAATTATGCAGTCTTGTAAGATTTCTCCTTTTGACCAAATTGAACATGTATCCTTGTGAACATGGCAGTGAACATGTATCCTTCACAAGAAATGCAATCCCAGAATGCATTACAATGAAATTCTGATTTTAAATATAACTATAGATCTGTCTGATTATAAAACAAAACTCAATTCTTGTTCCATAAATTTTTGTGCTTTATTAGATGGACCCAGTAACTTCACACTCTTTTGGAAATAACTGTAAGCATTGGTCGAGTCATTTATGCAGATCTCTTGCGGAGCACTTCTTGATGTTTAGGATGCTGCATTAGAAGCTTCAAATCACAAATATCAGCCATTTGCCAACAGTAGACAGCAAAGCATTGGAACAGTGATTCTGTGCATCTGTGTATATGTACATAAATCTGGGATTAAAAATGAAAGCATTTATTAAGAAAGTTAAAAAATAAACACAAATTTATAATAAAAAAACAATGTTAATAACACAAACTCTGCCATTGTGAGATACAGTTAACTTAGACATCACTTTAAGGTTAAAACGATTGCATATACCTTATACATTTAGTAATAGTTATCATTAACTATTATAATGTTGAAACTATAAATGTCAACATTATAAAGACACAATTTCTCATTCATTAATTTGTTATCATTCAAGTTTTCTTAGTGTCTTCTTCATGCTTATCACGCTTCTGTAATATTCTTGGGAAAAGCTTTGAGATCTTGGGCTTTCCATGTGCTTTTTTGATTTCTGAATGTTCCACGGATTCAGGGATGGACCGCAAAGACCCGAATCCTGAGCTGTGAGATGAGACCTTTGAGCGTGATGAGCTAAAAACTGAACTGCTGTCTGCTCCTGATCGTGATCTGAATGAACTGTAAGCAGAACTTCCCACAGACCAACTGTCCGACCACTCATCTCCACTCACTGGGGAAAATAAAATGAAATCAGAAAAAGATTTACAATTTTTATAGAGCAAAATTCTGACATTTAGCACTTTTAATATATTCCTAAAAAAATAGCCTATTGGTAATCCAGGTGCTCTTTAAAACCTTAAACAAGTACATTATTAATCAGATGGGATTTTAAACGTTTTTTCCCTGTTTTAGAAATATAGTTATTACAAACCTTATCACTATTTGTTGCAAGCATTTAAAGTTGACCATATAGATTTAAAGAGCCTGAAACTTTTTTTAAAAAGTTTGAAAAACAAATTATCAGTAAAAACAAGTGCTTGACTTTCAAAAATAATGATCTTCAACCTAAGGAGGTCAAACTAAATATTATATGTGCTATTTTTAATTTTATTGCATATTACAATTTTACACAATTTAGACTACTACATTTTTTTTTTTAACAGGGACAATTGGCAGTTATGGACAGCCCCAGAATTAGCTACAAAGCTAAATTTCATCTGTAGTCCCTGGGCAGGAGAGAAAACCACACATTCATCCACAATAAAAATAAGAATAAAATTCCTCACCTAGCAAATGAGAACACATTCCAAAAAAACAAAAAACAAGCATTTTCAAGCGTAACTTAAATTGTGCAAAAGTAGAACACTGACTGATATTAATTGGTATATTGTTCCAGTTATTAACAGCTCTTACAGAAAAAGCTGAACAACCAAAATTAGTAGCTCTAAAATGCGCTTCACAATCACCTCCTGAAGAAGCTCTTGTTTGTCTTGTGTTCTCAGCACGCAAAAAGACTAATTCTTTCAGCGG